TGCCTCTAGATCATCGCTTTTCCTCAAGGACATGCTTTTCATCATGCACCTTTAGAGAAGCTAATTAATTTTCAGTGTGGAGAGTGGACTTGAGAGGAAAGCAGCCTTCCATTGCGGAAAGAACGATTCGAGTGATGCCAAGGGAAATGTGTTTGCTGTTTCAAATTAAATTGGGAATAGGTGAATTGGAAACTCTGCCCCAGGCCTGATATCTCCAGGCTTTGCCAGCTTCTTTGCGGGAGGTTAGGAAACATCTTTCCAGGAGATCTTGAGCAACAAAATAAAAACTCATGCAGAATCCTCCCTGCTGCCCTTTCCCTGCGTCACTGGAGCTGGCCTCCTGCCTCAAACCTGATCCCTGTGCAATGTGTGTGTGAGTGTGTGTGTCAGAGAGAGGCAGAGATTGAGAGAGGGAAGGAAGTCAGCAAGTGACAGCAGAAGTTCAGGGCATGTGGTGGCACAAGGAATTCATGGTCTTCTCCAGGCCTCTGGTGCCCATGTATACCCCCACCCCAGGTAACATCTCGATGGGCCCAGTAGTCACACAGGGAGATGTGCTAACCATGGGCCAAGACCTGGGCGTCAAACACTGAGGGTGAAGAGGAGGGCCAGGAAAGGTTACACCAGCAGAAATAATCAGTGGTCAGGGCTTCTGATTCTGGAGAGAGTTTCCAGGAATCTCAGGTAGAGTGGTTGCATTTAAGAGAAAACCCATGTCCAGCCCCAGAGGCAACCAATCCAGGAAGGCCAAGAGTCGAGCCGAGGCTGGGCAGACGCTAAGAGAAGGACATATGCTACTCTGTGGCAGTCTGCAGGGGTGTGTACATCAAGAGGGAAGCAGAGTTCATGGCAAACTTGCCTTTTCACCCATGGCCGCTACCCCTGAGGCTTGAGCTAGAGGTGAATAAGGACCCCCAAGCCTCAAGTCTCAACAACAATGTAGGGGCTCCAAGGACAAACACAAAAATAGTAGAAGCCACTTGGCTTCTGTTCCTCTTCATGGGAAACTGTATCTCTGAGACAGGGTAGGTGAGGACTAAGAGGATGACAAGAAGGAGGAGGGGGCTGAACTTCACCCACTGAAATTCAGGACCACCAACTATTAATAAAAACTCTCTCTCAAGCCCCTTTGAGAACCAAAGCTCTCAGATGTCTGAAGTCTGTGATCTTTTGAGCCTCTGGAAGACTCTAGGTAGACAGGCAAGGCGGTCTTCCATGCGTATTGCCACAGACCCTGGAACATCAGCTTGGTGTCTAGGCAGACCTGGACTACCAGAGAGGCCACTGCAGGGCATCTGCTTGGCCATGCTCAGCCCCTGGACCTCCCATGCCGTGGGCCACCAATGGAGGGCTCCTCTCTCTTCCTACCAGTGAGTCTTCCCTGAGTCTGAGAGTCATACACATCACCTCAGTCACCACTGACTGAGCCCCTACTGTGTGCCAGGCCTTATGCAAGTTGCTGGGGATACAAAGAATCTGTGGGGAGACAGACATGTCCCACAGCTTTGTAGTCACTACCATCATGGAGGCATGAACAAGGGGTCCCGGAGCACAGCAGAACTCCTGGAAGAGGCAACTCTTGAACCGGGTCTTCAGTAATAGTAGAAGACTGGCGAGGCACACAATGGGTAAGGGACATGCCAGGGAGAGGGAACAATACCTGCAGACACAGAGGCGAGAAACAGCAGGGTGCGTGTGGGAAGCATACATGATTTCTGTGACCCCACCGCAGGGGTGCAGGGGTGGTAGCTGCAAAGAGGCCAGAGAAGGAGGAAGACAGGACCTGCTCCATCTGGGTTAAGGGGCTAAGGCGTCAGGACGCGACCCAGGCCTGTCAAGGAGGTAGGAAAGTTGCTATACCGGAGAGTGGTCCAAACGGAGTTGCACTTGAGAAAGGCCACTGAGATCCAGAGTTGAGGACGGGTTGGAATGGAGCAAGGCACAGGAGACAAGGGCAGGTGGGAGGCAGGTGGAGGGCAGGGGGGAGGCAGGTGCAGGGCAGGTGGGAGGCAGGTGCAGGGCAGGGGGGAGGCAGGTGCAGAGCAGGTGGGAGGCAGGTGGAGGGCAGGGGGGAGGCAGGTGGAGGGCACAGGTGGTGGAGGGCAGTGGGGGAGGCAGGTGGGAGGGCAGGTGGGAGGCAGGTGGAGGGCAGGGGGAGAGGCAGGTGGTGGGCAGGGGTGGGAGGCAGGTGGAGGGCAGGGGGAGGCAGGTGGGAGGGCAGGGGAGGCAGGTGGAGGGCAGGGGGAGGTGAGGTGCAGGGCAGGGGGAGGCAGGTGGAGGGCAGGGGGGAGGCAGGTGGAGGGCAGGGGGGAGGCTCTTGCCACAGACCAGGCAAAAACACAGAAGGTACGGGTCAAGGCAGCGGCAGCGATAGGGGGAATAGAAAGCAAAAGACCTATTGGAGAGATTTTAAGGGGTAAGAACAACAGGATTTTGTCACCATTTGGCCATCGGGTTGAGGGAGAGGGAGGAATCTAGGCTGACTCTCAGATTTCTGGCATAGGCAAATGGGTGAAAGGTGATAGGGACACGTCACAGAGATGTCAGGGAAAGGTGGAGTCTGAGGCACAGGAAGGGCAGGTGAATACGCCAATAGGTAGTTGCAAATATGAGTTAGGAGAGAGATCCAGGTGGGAGATAAAAATACGGAGGCATCAACACACAGCTGGGAGTTTGCGGCCATGGGCAAGGACAATGGTACCTGGTAGATGTCAGAACAGGCATCAGGCGGAGCACCCACCTCCACCCCAACTGCGCTACAGGCAACCGCAGAGAACCAGGAAGAGCCTAAGGATGCCCTACCCCCTCATGCTGCAGGAAGGAACTAAGACTTGGATCCCTGGTGTTTCCTGGGCCAGGACAGCACCAGAGGGATGCTCCCACCAGCAGTTCACTCTTCTGAAATAACCCCTTCGGGTTACCATCCTTTATCACCTGCGGGTTAAGTAAGACCTGAGTCAGAGAACTAGTGGCCCAAAAGGCTGCAGAAGGGCCAGACTCTGCCTGCTGTCAGGCCAGGGGCTGGGCCAGCGTGGAGAGGGCTGAGGCCATTCAGCAGCCATGTGAGGTGGCCACGAGGACATGGGCAAGGAAGGCAGATATCCCCTGGGTCTGAACCTTGGCCAGCAGGGAAGGCTCAGCCTGGGAACAGTCTCCAGATCCCTTTGGTACAAATATCAGGGTTGCCTGCCTTCTCCCTGGGGACACCCAGCAGGGAGCCCGTGTGCACAGGCAATATGTTCCAAGTTGTGGGGTGGGGTTGGCAGCGCCCCTACAAGGCACTGGGCTATAGAAGATTCCCTGAATCTTCTATACTTTTCCAGGGGGTACTGAAGGAAGGGGGCATGGGAACCTTCTGCCCCAGCTTACTTTCCAGGTGATCCGGCATCCTGCGGACTTACCCGGTCAGGCCCTCAAGATCACCAGCCCTGCCCACCTCACTTCAGCCCTGCGCAGAGCCCAAAACAGCCCCTGAGGCCTCAGAGCCTCCGTCACGCCCACACAGGACCAGGCAGGCAGGAGACGCCTCACAGAGCTTTTTTTTTTTCTGATTGTTTTATTTGAAAACCCTAGGATATGTCCCTTCCCTCACCACACCCATCACCCCGCCCCTGCCCCAGGACATGACGATGCCACACACACACACACACACACACACACACACACACACACAAGGCCGTGAGCTGCACACGGGAACACAGGGGCTGCACTCACGACAACATTGAAAAAATATACATTATATATATACACCCGAGGCCCCCACATCCCCTCCCGTCCCCGCAACTTGGCCACACCAGGTCACAGAGGAGGGGCCGGGGCTGCAGGACCTCAGGACTGCAACGGCAGGAAGGGAAACAGGACAAGAAAGGAAGGAAGTTGGAAAGGAGGGAGAAGCGGGGTCCCCAGACTGAAATGGAAACGAGGTGGGGCGATCATAAGAGAAGCAGGGACGATGGCCCAGCTGAGGGAGTCCTGCAGAGGGAGAGAAGCTTCCCATGGACAGGAGAGAGAAGGGAAGGGGAGAGGAGAGGGTTTCCTTCAATCCCACTCCCAGCTCCAGCCCCAGCCATTGCAATCGTCACCCTCTCCCCAACACAGTGACTGCTAAGGGGGCAGATGCCATTGGGGGTAGAAAGGCAACTGAAGTCCAGCCCACTTGCCAACCCAGCCAGCCCCAGTGCAAGGGGCACACCAGGAGCATGACAGCCCAGAGGCGAGGGATGGGGGGCTAGGGGAGGGGCAGGGCAGACTCCAGAGGGCCCGCTGGGCTTTTGAGATGAAAGGAGGCCTGGTTCTGAAGCCTCTCTCCCTCTTGGTCTCTGTTCTCCCAGAAGGTCCTTCTCCCATGTCTGGAGTGTCTGTTTCATCAGGGCAGAATTCTCCCTCTGCATGGGGAGAGGTGTCGGCCTCAGTAGCGGTGTGGGGGGGTCTCGATGATGCGTCTCTCGTCGCTGCTGGGGGAGTCGGCCACCTCCGAGTCACTGCTGTCCTCGTCCTCCTGCTGGCCCCCGGCAGCCCCTGCCACACAGGCCTGCCGATTCTGGTAGGACTGGAGGGCGGGAACAGAGAGGAGAAGGGATCAATGGCCTGCACACACCCCAGCCTCTCTTTCAGGGGCCACACTTCCCTCGGTCCCCTTATCCCCTTTGCACCCCCTTCCCTGCCTGAACCTCTCTCCCTCCTGCTCACTGCAGCTCTGCGAACAGCCTCCACCGGGGCCTGCCCCTCCTCAGGAGTTCTCCCAGTGTGTGCTCCACAGTCCTACAGAACCCCCCTTCCCCGGCCTCTCACCTCCATGGGGTTCACAATGATGGTGAGAGCTGAGTCATCCCAGAAGAGGTCGGGGTCCTTGGGGTCACTGGAGGCCCCTGGAGGCCCGCCAGCCCCTGAGACGCGGCGGTGAAGGGAATGGATGCGCACCAGGCCCAGGACGACCATGAGCACCAGGAAGCCCACGCACACCACGATGATGAGGGTCGCGGCGCTGGGAATCACTGCAGAGAGAGTGCGGGGGGTGAGCAGAATGTGACCAGGCACACCTGGGGGCACTCAGACAGGGGGCTGGGTAGGAAAAGAGGCAGCCCAGGCTGAAGGAGTCCCAGGGCAGAACCCACAGTGGCCGAGAAGAGAGGAACACCTGGAGAAGCCAGAAGAGAAACAGCCTGCCAGGAAGGGCAGGAGACGAGAGGGGAGGAAGGGAGCTGCTGCAAGGTAAAGAGACAAACACAGAGGGTGGCAGGTGTACAGACAGGCAAGGGCAGCAGAGGAAAAAGACTCTCAACCCAACACTGTCATGAACGGCCCTATTCTCACAGGACAGAGGGCAAGGACTGGAATCTGCCCCTGTCATTCCACCTGTGCCTTCCCCAGAGACCACTCAGCCTAGGAAAGAGGTGCCAGCGCCCAGTGAGGGAGGGGCGGGGCCACTACATGAGCTTGGCTGTGCAGGAGGAGACGCAGCTCCAAGCCTGGCCTGGCTGCAGGAAGAGGGCACTAGCACCTGAAGCTGGGGACAAGTCCAAGGGGCACAGAACAGCCCCTTCCCTTACCCACCTGGGCTGAGCTCACTCCGTGACACCTCCCTTCTCCTGGTGGGCTTGGGGCTCCTGGACGTCTGGGGTTCCTGCTTCCCCAGTATCTCCCCCTGAGGCGTACCTGCCTCCCCCATGGCTCTGCCATGCTTCCGGCCCTGCAGCCCCACTTTGATGCCCAGGTTCAGAGGGGCATGGACCTTCAAAGGCAGTGAGACACAGAACGGCGCGTGCACTCTCACACGGACCTGAGAGCTGATGGCGGCAAAGCACATGTGCATGCACAGGTATATGCTCAGGAAGACTGTGTGGGCACACAGCTGCACAAAGATCGCCACACCCCATACCCGAGCCAGGCCTCTGCCAGCCTGCACGCCGGCCCACACCAGCCACCTGGCCGCCTGCTCACACAGTGGGAGTAAAGGAACGCGTCTGAGGGTCTCCAGTAAGGCACAGCAGAGCCATATGTGCAGCGTCACCCAGCTCCCCACCAGCTGGGCAGACCAGGCAGCCCCCTGAAGGAAGATGTAGACACTACACACGTGGGCCGTGAGGGCCACAGAGCGAGCCACCGTGAGCACAGCCCTGCCTGCTTCCTGCACACACACACACAGCTCTCGGAGAAGCACAAGGAAGCAAAGCAGGAAAGCCCGCAGCCCCAGGGACAGCAGGTAGAGGTAGAGACCCCACACACGCACCCCTAAGCCCAGGGCCCTTACGGGCAGCTGGGTCACTACTCCCCACATGGGTGGACACCCCTGCCCACCATGCATGCACACGGCTTCTCCCTGGGCAGTCCCGTTGCTGAGGGACTATTCCATGTATGTGTGCCCCAAACACACACAGAGACCGGCAATCACACAAGCAAGCTCCTAGAAACATGCACACATCACATCCCAGCCCCGTCCCCAAATTACCTACAGCCTGAGACTCATGTGTCAATAGACAGAGCAGAGCGTAGGGAAGTGCATGACCCAGGAGCTCCCCCATGCTCACACCCACACCCTGCTGCAGCGCCCCCTCCCCAGCAGCCAGCACGCTCTGCTGCCACGCACGCCAGGGCCAACCAGGTGTGTGGAGAACGCCCTGCCTGGGCAGGCCACACACCTCCCTGAGGCCGCCCTGATGGCTGTCTGCCAAGTTGGTCCCCATCCTGACCCGACCCACGGCCCACTTGAGGCCACTTGCCAATTAGAACGGACTCTGCTGGGGCACACTCCCTCGACACTGGTTCCAAGGTGAAGACAGAACTGGCTGGATCAGTATTTCCCAACTACCTGGGAACGGGGGATGAGGGAAGAGGGGACTGGCTGGATCAGTATTTCCCAACTACCTGGGAACGGGGGATGAGGGAAGAGGGGACAGAGCTGCCTCTTCTGCCCATCGGCAGGAAATAGTGCCTCTCAGGTCTCCATGTCAACAGACCAGACCCAGGGCAGTGCCTCCGCTGGCAGGTGGGCCCGGTGGCTAAGCCTAGGCTCTAGAAGGAGTGGTGACTCCAGCCTCAGGGTGGAGGCCAAAGCAGGTGAACTTGCTGTAAGCACACAATGGTGACGAGCTAAAGCTGGTTTGTGCCTTAATCAACGCAGTGTCCCTCCGAGCTCCTGGCCTAATGAAGGGAATGACAAGTTGATTGCCAGGACAATAGAAATGACCACAGGAAAGACAAAATGCAGACACTGTATCTACAAGCAGACAAGTCTGGTCAATTAGTTTAACATGAGTCAGCAGCCCAGGGAGATGGGAGGATTTTTAAATCAGCTACAGATAAAAATCAAGGATTTAAGAAGTACAGTCAACTTTTCTTGCTACATGAGATGTGAGCAGTTAATTCTAGCCTTGAATGACCTCCAGAGCCAACACAAGGGGTGACTTAGCAAATGGCCTGTGGGATTGCGAGGACCCTGTTGGAAGCCCTGCCCACAGCTCCACACGGTGCCCTCTTTGCAAAGAGCCCCGGGAGAGATTTCTTTCTGCTCACAGTCCTGGGGCTTTTCATGAAATAGCGTTTGGCTCCATCATGGCTTTCAGAACTGCTCAGGTTTCCTTTTGCTTTAGCTTCAAAGAAGCTCAGAGTCAAAATTCTGGCCCATGGTAGCAACTGCACGGCATCTCATAGTAAGCATGTTATGAGCTGACTTTATTCCCTGGCTTCGTTTGATCTTTATTTCATCATTACCTGTTCCTCCTTACTTCCTCATTCATTTTCTTTCTGTCCTATTGCTTTCTAACTCTTTCTGCAAAGCTTCAGATACTTGTAGGAAACAAAGGAGGAAAATTATTCCCAAACTTTTAAAGATCACATGGGATTTTTAAAAACCACTGATACATGGCTCCCACCCGCTAGACATTCTAGGGTGTAATTTAGGTGCCAAGAGTTTTTAAAGCTCCCCAGGTGATTCTGGCAGGCATCAAAATTTGATATGAGTAGATGCACAATACCCTCATCATCTGGGCTCACTCTTCTTCACCAACCTTATTCTCTCTAACCGTAAACACTCCTAACCACCCATCTACCCCCAGTTCTCAAATTCTCATTCTCTCTCACGCCCATCCAAAACTCCCTTCTACACTTCAGGTCCAAATGCAAGCTCTACACGTGCCATAAAATCTCCCCTGACTGTTCCAGTTTACACTGGTTCCAGTTCACATTGGTCTCTCTTTCTCTAGTGCACTTAGGAGATTTAGAGCGACGGGCCTCTGTGCCACTGGAGGAGATCGCACCTCTCAATGCTTCTGCATGTTTAGAACGGTTTGATATTGTGAAACCACAATTCTGCAACACCACTCGGCATTTGTAGGTGAAAGGGAGGGAGCAGCCTGCGGAGTCAGAGGAAGCATATAGAAGGGGTTTTATGCAATGAACGGCCTGTCAGCTCAGGCATGCCAATCACCAGTGCCCTCAGGGAAGCTCTGAACTCTGTGTCCTACTCAGGCCAAAATAAGAGAAGAAGCAAAGGAAAAGTGCTGCTCTCAACTGAAATCTGAGCGAAGCCTGATCAGCCTGGACATGAGCTCAGAACAAAGGATGGGGAGACTGGGCTTCACTGTGGGGAGGTGAAAGGGTGCCATGTGCAGACACTGCTCCAGGGGCTGAGGGCTGAGAAGCGCTGCCTGCCAGGCCAGCCCATGCAGGGCAGCTGGACACTCAGGGGAGAAGGTGCTGGGCTCTTAGAACAAGAAGTCCCTCACGTGGGGCCTTATACCAAAGAAAGTAAGGATCAAGAGTCTCACCAGGCTGGGCAGCACCCCTATCTACCTTGAGCCTAATCAGGGTAGCAGGACCTAGAATCCAACCCAGAAAAGACTGAGTGGAATGATCCCCAATGAAAGAACTGGAGAAAGTGCTATGGAATCACAAGAAGGAAAAAAAAATACATAGCTGGCCTCAAGAGTTTATTTGAAATAAATAGGTTTGGTTTGCTAACATGTCTCTATTGACTAAATACTGTGTGAAACTTCTCTGAATCTTTGCAGCTTGGTTATGCCTTATATTCCCCGCGAATCCTCACTTCCACCTACTTGCTACAGTGAATCACAGTAGAACACTGAAAAAGGCCTCTGCAAGTCCAAATGCGGCAGCTCACACCTGTAATCCCAGCACTTTAGAAGCTGAGCCAGGATGAGTGCTTGAGCCCGGGAGTTCAAGACCAGCCTGAACAACAAAGTGAGACCTTGTCTCTATAAAAAAATCTTAAAAATAGCCAGTATAGTGGCATGCATCTGCTCCTCGGGGGGCTAAGGCAAGAGGATTGCTTGAGCTCAGAAGTTCGAGGCTCCAGTGAGCTGATTACCACTGTTCTCCAGCCTAGGCGACAGAACAAGACTCTGTCTCCCCCTCCCAAAAACCTCTGCAGTTGTTTTCAGAGAAAGCAAGGAAGAAGGGAGCCAGTCTCAGAAAAAAGAAAACATAAGAGACAGTATAGGTGGTGGCCGCTGCAGGAGGAGAGGAAGCCAGACCGAATCCCTGGGGGCATCAGAGGAGCTGGCCTCTGTCAGAAAACCCTGGGAAGCTCCTCAGGGGCTCCCCCTAATTATGTGCAACTCTAAAGTTATCAGACTAATCTTTTTTAAAGCATCCAACATCTGGCGAGAGGAGTGAGGGCCATGGTTACTGCACAGACTGGAATCATGCCTCCTGGATTTAAATCCTGGCTCCACTTACTTTCTAGCTGTGTGAACTTGGGTAAGGCACTTGAACTCTCTGTGCCTCTGTTTCCTTGCCTGTAAAGGGGATAATTCTGGTACCCATTTCATTGGTTGTTTATGATGGCTAAATGAGTTAATATGCGTAATCCCCCAGCACGGTGCCTGGCACATGATGAGAGCACCCTGTGTTTGTTAGAACTATTATTACCATCACATATATTGAAATAAGCTCTGTACTTTCACGTAGTATTCACAGACCACGAATTTCTTCCAAGAAGGCACTCGTGGAATCCTTTGAGAATTGCCTTAAGAGCCTGTGGTACAACCTTTTGACTTTTTTCAAAGGTGACCAATCTATGGCCTCTGAGAGTGGGTTTAATGTTTAAAAACTTAGAACTATATCCAGAGCCAACTTTGGCAAAAGTGGATGATGAAGTTGAGTAACACTGAACAGGGTCAAAAGCAAGTTATGTCCAAAAAATAACAAAAATAAATGCACCTCATAAATTGGCTTTGAAAGCAATTCTAAGAAGGGGTTCCAAAAATCACTTTCAACAACATCAGCATCATTAGCGATTTTTAATAACGTGGGAGAATACTTGTTTTATAATATGAAGTGTAAATATCAGGTCACAAAATAGGTTAATCCTAACTCTATAAAAAGGAAAACTTAGGCATAGAAAAAAGACTGGAACAGAAAATCTCATATTATCAATGGTTTCCTCTCTGATGAAATTATGGCTGATTTTTCTTCGTCTTCTTCTTTTTTTTTTTTTTTTTTTTGACACAGAGTCTTGCTCTGTCTCCCAGACTGGAATGCAATGGTGTGATCATGGCTCACTGTAGCCTCAGCCTCCCAGGCCCAAGAGATCCTCCTACCTCACCCTCCCAAGTAGCTAGGACTACAGGCAAGTGCTACCATGCCCAGTTAATTTTTTTAATTTTTTGTAAAGACAGAGTCTCACTATGTTGCCCAGGCTGGTCTCAAACTCCTGGACTCAAGTGATCCTCCCGCCTCAGCCTCTCAGTGTGTTGGGATGGCAGGCGTGAGCCACTGTGCCTGGCCTGATTTTTCTTCTTTAAAAGAAATATTTGATATTTATTTTCTGGTTTTTCTACAATTATGCAACTCAAAAGTTGAAAATAAAATTGCACCATTGGTAAAGGACCATGACTGGGAACCTTTGGGGCCATGGCCAGGTTGCTTTGAAGGGCAGCTTTGAAGGGCAGCACTCCATCTGAATGTAATGCTTTGCATATTTGCATATATTTTTTAGAAATATTCTTGTGACTGCACACATAGCACATAATTTTACATGTAATAGTACCAATTCTCTCCTTGGGGATAGGGACTGTGTCTATCCTATAAATCATTTAGATCATCTTAGGACAGTGCTAGTACACAGTAGGTGCTTAGTAAATGCTTGATAGCTTCACCACAGAGGATCCTAGGTCCAGGGCTAATTTGATATTGCTTGGGGCTGGGGAAGGAGGCATCATCAGGAAAAACAAACACTTCTAAACCCACACTGACTTTATGATTCCAGGAATAAGCACCCCTACAATGACACAAGGCTCATGTTCTTCACAAGGGAAAGTGAGTGATCCAAAGGGAGAGAGGGATTGGTCCATAGCTGTCAACTAAGGCAGGTATCACAGGGGAACAGAACCCATTGCTCCACCCCCCTTGTCCTCTCCCACAGGTGGAGGGGAGGATACTTGTCCCAACCCACTCACCTGCCACCTTCCCCTCCCTGCCCAGCCCCACCAGGCTTACGTACTGGAGTTTCGGTGGGAGCTGGCCAGGCTGTGTCCAGCCATCTCAGGCGGGGGCTGGTGCCCACGGTGCAGGAACTGCTGGGAGCTGAGCACATGGCTGGGGTGGGCAACCCGGTTCATGCTGTGCAGGACATTGACCTGGGCAGAGGGAGGCCTCCATGGGCACACACGCTTCTCCCAGGTCCTCCCCACTTCTCTAGAGCCCAGCTCCATCTCCTAACTACTGCCCCCATCGCCTTCTTCTCCACCCACCGCAGGGTCCAGCAGCCCTCCACACTGCCATGTCCATGCCCACCAGCTAACATTTTGAGTCCATGCCACCTCAGCTTCTTTCTGGGGGTGGGTAACTGCGGAAGGAAGGAGACTCTCTAGGTACCTCCACGATGAATTCATTGCTGGAGTAACGGCCATTCATTTCCGAGCAGGAAAGCCGGAATTTCCTGGCGTAGAGGGCAGCTCCGTGTCGCAGCCGATAACGAGCCTGCCTCAGGATCTCTTCATACACAGTGATGCTCTCCACCCCTGGAGATGAGGAAGCACCTCAGGGCAGGTCCAGTGGAGGCAGGACCTGGGCAGGACCCTCTCTCCTGGGCTCCCACCAGCTAACACCACACAAGCTGTAGAGCGGGTCAGCCCCATCTCTGCAGAAGTGCAACCTGAGGTCAAAGGGAGAGATGCTCCCCTCCATCCCTGCCCGCTCTGCCTAACTAGGATGGAGAGATCAAGGCTCCGTTTCCTGCTCTGTAAGTTCTGAGGAGGAATGGAAAGAAGGAGATAAAGACATCCTGAAAGACAGAAAGCGAGATGGCAAGCAGGAGGAAATCTGAGAAAGAGGAAAACACAGAAGTCCTCAGTGAGCCCTGGAAAGGAGTGGAAATAGAAAGGAACTGGTTATCTCCACCTTCTCCATTCTCCCTCCTGGCTTTCTTTGGAAACTACCAAATCATCACTCCCACTATTCACTAAGAGATGAGCACTTCTTGTAAAGCTCTGGTGTGCACGTGAGATGAGAGAGCTGTACAACAGAGATGACCAGTAACAAACAGCTAGAGGGTTAGAAAGCTGGGCAGAGATGAGCCGAAGGAGGAGAGGAAGGAGAGAAGCCTGAATGGAAACAGGAGTGGGACCAGAAGTGGAGGTGAGCCAGGCTATGCAGAGGAGTAGGAAGAGAGAAGCATTCGGAGCCTAAACCCAGCACACCTCCCCTAGGGACAATCAAAGCCAGAGGATCTTCCAGGCTAGGAAAATGCAAAACGGCACTTGTCTACATCCCCAGACCTGGAGGAAGGACCATCTGGGCTTCCCAGGCCCTTACTTTTCAGGAGGGGCCCACACACACAGAGGACAGGCCCTCAGGCCCCACTGACCAGCAATGGTGAGGTAGGCAGATGTGTTGGTGAGCTCCAGCCCTCGCTGCTGCACGGAGGTCGTGTCCAGGAGCAGGCTTTCCCGCTCGGGGTCCAGGTCATCCCCCACCAGAGAAATTTCACAACCATCCAGGTTGTGCACAATCTCATCCGACATGCGTGTGTCTGTCACTGGGTTGGGGAGAGCAGGGTCTGGGTCAGAGCCAAAGGGCCCACAGAGGTTCTGAGCCCCAGCCATCCCCTCACCACCACTCTCCCTCCCTTTCCAGGGTCAGGGAAAGGGAAGGCAGCACCATTTTCAAGAATATCATTATGCAGCAGTTCATTTCCACCCATGGGTTTCCCGCTTGCTCTCCTTCTTAATGGGAAGTTGTTTAGTCAGAAAAACACAGGGTGGAGTCACTTTCTGCTTCCAGCCCCAGGAGTTCTCCCGCACTCTGGCTTCAGACACTGGCTGGTTCTCTGGATGGTGTTACTCCCCAGAGTCATCCTTACCTGTGCCCTGCCAACTTTCATCCTTTTTGGCCTCCACCTGGTGAGAAATGGAGCAGGTGATTTGAAGATCAGGGAACAAAGGGACGCCCTCCATTCCCTCAAAGTCCACGGCTGGGCGGGCAAAATGGGCAGTGCCACTCAGCAGGATCTGGGGGGCATCGGGCTGAAGGACCACCACATAGCCCTCCACTTCAGGGATGGACACACAGGACTCTTCACTGAAGCATCTGTGTGAGAAAGGAGGAGAAGCAGCATGTGACCCCAACACTTCCTCCCTGAAAACCTACATTCTGTTTCACTCCCTGCCCCAGCTACCTCCATCATAGAGCATCTCATGTCAGGGAGGGGCAGGGGAAGAAAGGGGGTCATGCCTCTGCACCCCAACCCCCATAGCAGTTGAAGGGGGACATATCCTTTCCTGGTAGGATGTCACTAAGGAAAATGTTGAGGACAGAAAGTCAGGTAACGCCAACCTGTGGGTGTGATCACACCATCAAGGCCCTACCCCAGGATTATGGAGTACCTATAAATGCTATTTTAATGAAAAATAAAGCAAACTGAACTGACAAACATGTATATATACACACACGGTTCTTTATCCAGGAGTTTAAAAATACATGGGAACAGTATACTATCTAGCACATATGCGCCCAAAATTATTCAACAATAAAAGTAGAGGGTGGACATCTATCAAAGGATGTCCTCCTCTTTCGTGTGTCTTTCATTCCCTTCAATAGCGGGGAAACACACTTCGGTAGGTGAGATCATCCGGCCACCTTGGACCTAGATCCACCGTCCCATGAAGCTTTAGGATTCAGGCACCAGGACAAGCTATCCCTAGAGGACTCCGCTGAGCCAGACCAACCAACAGTACAGCCGCTCAGGAGTGATGCTGTCAGGATCACATGTAGCCCCACATTTTACCAGTAATAACAACACCTCACAATCAATAGCCCTTGCCAGTTTATGAAGCATTTTTCCCATATTATTTCTTTTGTTTGTTTGTTTGTCTGTTTTTTGTTTTTGGGGGTTTTTTTTGGTGAAGTTTCACTCTTGTTGCCCAGGTTGGAGTGCAATGGTGTAATCTTGGCTCACTGCAACCTCTGCCTCCTGGGTTCAAGCGATTCTCCTGCCTCAGCCTCCAGAGTAGCTGGGAGTATAGGGCACACGCCACCACGCCCAGCTAATTTTTGTAGTTTTAGTAGAGACGGGATTTCATCATATTGGTCAGGCTGATCTTGAACTCCTGACCTCAGGTGATCCGCCCGTCTCGGCCTCCCAAAGTGCTGGGATTACAGTCGTGAGCCACCGCACCTGGCCCATATTATTTCATTATAACTTCATTTCTATGCTGTAAAATGCCTAAAGCTCAGGCTGGGCATGGTGGTTCATGCCTGTAATATTGGCACTTTGGGAGGCTGAGGCGGGAGGATCCCTTGAGTTTAGGAGTTCAAGATCAGCCTGGGCAACATAGTGAAACCCCGTCTCTACAAAAAATACAAAAATTATCCAGGTGTGGTGGCAGACAACTGTAGTCCCAGCTACTCAGGAGGCTGAGGTGGAAGGAACACTTGAGTCCAGGAGGCAGACGTTGCAGTGAGCCAATAAGATCATGCCACTGCACTCCAGCCTGGGTGACAGAGTGAGACCCTATCTCAAAAACAAAAACAAAAACAAAAACAAAGAAAAGTAAGACAAAGAAAACCAAAGAGTCAAGGCTTAAACCATTCTTCTCCTTCCAGGTCCACTGATTTTTGTTTTGTTTTGTTTTGTTTTGTTTTGCAGAGTCTCACTCTGTTGCCCAGGCTGCAGTGTAGTAGCGCCATCTCAGCTCACTGCAACCTCCGCCTCCCGGGTTCAAGCGATTTCGTGCTTCAGCCTCCTGAGTAGCTGGGACCACAGGCATGCACCACCACACATGGCCCAAGTCCACTGATCTTTCCACTAAACCACAGGCACCATTTGGGGCCTGGGTTTGCACCAGGGAAATTTATGTGTAAAGACGTTTCGTTTCCCCACTTGAACAAGCAGACTTCACAGTGGAGTTAGCGATGCAGGAGCAGGGACTCTGATCCACGTGCTGGTGCTAGTGGAAACAATTTTGCAGAAAGGACTGTAATTATTGGTGTTACGGAGCATGCCCAGCTTGAATGCTGGAGCAAAAAAGGAGAAGGCATAATCTCAGCAGG